TTGGGGTATATATGTGTGTCTATGGTGTGTGTGTGTGTGTGTGTGTGTGTGTGTGTGTGTGTGTGTTGGATTCTAGTTCCTTGAACGTCACCAGTCAAGAACTGAACTACTAAAGCTTTCTTTACCTTTTCACCCTCCTCGGATATTTTTGTTTGTTTGTTTGTTGTTTGCTTTTTGTTTTAAGCCTTTACTTTTCCATCTTCCAGAACAAACTTGATTGGTTTTATTTGGTTCAGTAACCTAAAGCTAAAAGTTTATTCAGGGAAGCTCTTACTGACTTCCAGCTAACCAGCACATGCATAGACTAGGAACAAGGATCTGTGTTGGTAGCTAACCAGCACATGCAAGGATCTGTGTTGGTAACTGTATGTATATGTGTGTTGCGTGTGTTGCATGTTTAAGTATGTAGGTGCTAAGGCCCATAGACCCAATGAAGAGGCCAGAGGAGCATGTTGGGTGTCTACCTCTCCACCTCCCTGCCTTACTACCTTCAGATGGGGACTCTTACCTTTAGACCAGGTTGGCTGGCCAGCAAGCCTCAGAAATCTGTCTGCTCTCCAATGTTGGAGTTACAGGCACACACAGTCACCCTGGGTTTTTATGTGGGTGCTGGGGACTCAAACTCAGGTCCTCCCATTTGCATGACAATCCCCTCACCCACCAAGCCAGTCCCCAGGCCCGCGGTGACTATCTTAAGAAGGTTGAATCCTAACTGCTCTTGTGGAAAGATGCCTCCAATGTTGGCTCTGTCTGATGTTCGCATGAGGTAGCAGCTACCACTGCCTGGGAGCAGCCTCCAGACAGCACAGGACTCAAAAGGAACACATGGTGTCATCGTGTACTAGACTTTTCTATCTGAGTGGCTTAGGGGGAAAAAACTCACACTCTCTTAATGGTTTCCTTCAAACCTTGTCTTTATTCTTCTTTATTCTATTTATTCTATTTCTTTCTTCTATTCCTTCTCTCATTCTTGATGTTTTCTTTCTAACTTTTTCATTTTTGGTGTTTTTCTTCTAGCCCACTTTAAGTCTTTTTAACTCTATCTCTATTCTTTCCCTTACAGCTTATATATTATCTTTCAGGCAATATAAAAACCACAATGTGGTTACATTCTGTTTTTGAAGTGAATGATTACAATGAATACAAAACAAACAGTAAAATAAAAACAGCATGTTTTCCATGTGCCTTACATGATTAAACATTTTTTACAGGTGAAAAACAAATTATTCCCAAGAACCCACATACATTCATAACCAAACAACTTGTTATAGATTAACTGTGTGGGCAAGCAAGGTGTTCTTCTCAGTTAGGTCTTTTATTGGTGAGCTGCACTTTGCAATTACGAAGAAAGGGCCAATTACTTTATTACTTATCTTGAAAGGTAGTCTTATAAGGAATCTTAAAGAAATCACAAACCTAAACTTTTCTATATTAAAAAGAAACAGTCAGTTCTACTTTAAACCTTTAGGGTACATAACCCACACATCAAAAATTTTTTATATCAGGAGACTGAGGACAAGAATAGGTACAAGAAATGAATCACTATCTTTGATCATAAACCAACCCTAGCGAGGAAACTATGTCAGCTAGTAACAGTTGGGCTGTTTTGTAATTTTTTTTTAACTCAGCCATGTGTCCTTATGAACTTTAGGTTGCTTTTTTTTGTCTTAAAACTATTATCAAAACATCTGATCTAACCTGAAGTTATTGTAAGGCTTTGTCTTGGCTAAGATGCACACCGAAGCCTATGACTGCATCTTTCAGCACTAAGAGCACTAGAGCCAGCCTGTCTCCTGGGACTCAATTGTTTTCCTTAATCATTAACTTGAGCTATGGTCTATACAGCTCCTTAGGTGAAACCCATAGACCCCTGCTGTGTAGCATTTTCTTGTGTTTATTCCTATTCATCAAAACTGTATATAAGCTAACATTATTATTATAAATTAGGCAATACAGCTAGGGAAGAAACATCTTTATAATCACAGGTAAAAACGCCCAGTAGGATGGGGTGTTTCCAGGAAATAAACACACTGCATTACAGGTACCCATTTACACCATGCCAGATACCTGAGAAAGATCGCAGCAGCAGCAAACATGTAAGGACACAAAAGAAGCAAAGCACATACATTCCAGAGTCTGTGGTCTCGGAGACTGCCTACCCGAGATTGACCCATCAGAGAGCCTCCTCCTGGTGGGCTAACACATTGAACTTCAGTTGCTACCTGCTGCTCCTCTGACATGTAGCAAGTAGCGCAAAAGGAAAATCCTGTTCTTGTGCATCGCTCACCATCTCTGTGGCTTTGCTGTACCCTGCACTGGTCCACCCTTGTAGAGGGGTATTACGTGGAAAGCTACACACACTGCTGCCTCTCACCCTGTTTGCTGAGGGAAGCAAGCCTCTTTCCTCTTTTAGGACAAGTAGCACATCCCACAAAAGCAGGGACAGGGTTACTGCTCCAGCTGTGACTTGATGCAGCCTGGGAGCTCCACTGGACAGCAATTGCTTCCTTTGGGTTCACTCCCAAATGTAACCCACGTACTGTTCTTCAAGTATGAAGCCATAAGCCTTGGACATGTCTCAACTGTGGGATGCAGAGTAAAGCATGGTCTTAGAAAAGGAAAAGAAAAGGAATATTATGGCATGGTTAGTTAGGAAGCAGGTTAACTGCTGGGAAAATGCATTAGCAGACACCTCAAGTAGAAAAGACTCAGTCTGACCCCACCCTCCATCATCTAGCCTGGCTGGCCTGTGGCGTAATGTTCTCTGTGTTGTAGGCGACTTTAACCCTGAGAAAGAGGAGGTTTGCTTACGAAAAGAAAAGGCAG